TTTTCTCCTTACTATGTCTGCTGTCCTCTCCCTTCTGATATCTTCAAGGCAGGCTCGAGTTCAGTATCTTTCTAATAACTTTTTATACATCCTTTTTTCTCAGATGCCTAACCGTGCGATCAAACGGTGTTGCTGGTTAAAGTGTGTTTGGTAATTTACTTTTAAATGCTGGAGGTCACTGAGAAACCTCAAAAGATAAAGCCAGCACTTCAAGAGTTAATATGTTATTAGGAGGACAGGAAATCTGGCAACTATTGCAGAAACTAGACCTAATGGTGCACACAAACAATTTGTCAGTCTTGGTAAATGTGAATAGCTTTCCGCAAAGTGGCCGCATTTGCTTTGTTTGAACAGCCTAAACTTTTCCTTTTCGGACTTTAAATCTTAGAAGTGAAATGTGATCCACATATTGAATCAAAATAATTTAATTCAAAACATATTTTGATTGGAACAAGGTTGACGTGGAAAGAAACTCTAGAATAATAAAAAAAAAAAGTTGAAAGGACTTTCTATCATATATTTAGCAGGAAAATTTGAAACAGTTCTAATTAGGCTGAAAAAAACAACCTTCTTCATTGTAACTTACTAAGGTCATATATCAATGTTAAGGCAGTGTTACCAACTTGTGTCTGAAAGCCTACACATGCAAACATTGTTCCAGTTGTTTGGTTTTGTTGGGGTTTGGGTTTTGTTTGAATGCATGTGCACACACATAGTTCCAAGGCAGAACATGTGCTTAGTTTAAAGTAGTTACCTGGTCCTGCAGTTATGTGGGTGTTTTGTCATGTTCAAGAAGAGTATTTTTCACCTGAAAATTGTGGTTTTGCTAAAAGTGTGTGAAATCCTAATTCGTGCTTTTCTGTTCATACATAAATATTTTTTCAAAAGGAACGTGAAAGAGACTCCATTATTTTAAATATTTAATAGGAAATTCTTTAGTTCAGGAAGGAATTGAAATATTTAGTCCATTAAAGGCAATTTTTTGTACTGGAGATCTGTAATTTCTTACTTGCTGATGTAGTATTCCTGGGTTTGTTATTTTGTTTTTTTGGTTTTTTTGTTTTTTTTTTTCAATTGAGTGAATAGGAAAGTTTATTCATGTATGAGCAGTTTTGGTTTCTCATCAAATTTTCTACTTTAATTTTAGCTATATAAACCACATGTTGTGTAGGTTGGACTTCTGTCTTTCCAATAAGAGTTGCATGCATGCTTTATGCTTTGCTTCAAAATCATTTAACTTTAGGTCAGCATAGGAATAAGGCAAGCGGGTCATTTATTTCTAAATAGCTTGATTATGAATATATATCTGTGCTGATGAAAAAAATGCAGTTAAGCCTTTCATCTAATTTCAGCATTGGAACATCCCAAACTCAAGCACAGTATATATTCATTTTTAATAGACGTAATTTCAAATGCTGTATGTCATTGCATGAAATCTAAAGCAGAAATAGGAGTAGGGGACAAAAGCCAATAGTAGTCACTTTAAAGATACAAATCTTGATTCCAAGGGGATAATATTGTTTAGGAAAATATATCATAATAAATGGTTTGAGAACTGATACTGGAAAAAGGAAAAATCTTTCCTAACCTGCTAGTCTTCTGTTCTGTCATTCCAGCCATGTTCTGTGAAATCATTTGTATCAGTATTAGACTGATGTTAGTCTTTGGTTGCCAGCAGTAAATTATTCTCCCTTCATTCCTTTCAGAAAACAGGACAGAAGATGATGCACATAAAATAGTGAATTTCAGAGTCATTCATGAAGAGGTGGTTTTGATTGCACATATTTAGTGGCATCAGATTGTGCACTTGAAAAATATTTATGAATAAACTAAAATTTCCTTGTTAAGATCAAAGCGTCTATTTGTTGATGTATCTGAAGTGTTTCTACCTTGGGAACAGAGAAATGAAAGTTACTAATAGGTGTTTGTGTTTGACATCTGTATACTGTACTTTTTAGCATATCTCAAGTGTTTTAGTCTCTGCCTAATAGATCTCATTAAAAAACCAGATATCAGCCCCAAGACAGTTTGTCAAAGTTAATATGAGTCCCCGTGGACAGAACTGACAATTTGTGTGTGGCTTCACGTGACAGTCTTTTCATGGTCTTGTTTGATCCTTTAACAATTGGACATTAGTCACTGATTTGTTTTACAATAACTCAATAGGATTGAACATTACTGTGTTGTGCTGGATGCTTTCGAGGGTTTTCTTGTTTTCCACATTTACTTTGTAGCAAACAGTAAATGATGTACTTGGTCTGCCATGGGAGCTCTAACAATTGATGGGTTTGCTTTAAGAGCAGCATGGGAAGGATGTTCCTATCCCACTGCTGTGTGCTGTGTTTAACTTGAGCCTTAATGAGCAATGGCTGTCCTGGATGCTTAAGTAATCCTAAATGCTTAGCCATCCATACCCTTGGCTTAGTTTTGCAAGAAGTAAAGGCTAACAGTGATGTTTAAAAAACCAAAAAAAAAAAAAAAACCCACCAATCCCCCGTTTTTATAACTGAATGGTTATGCAAATTGCAACTTTTTTATTTCTCAGATGGTTTCTTAAGGAGGGCCCATACCCACATAGTAGACACCAGCCTGGCTACAAAGTGCACTACATGGCCTGCTCTGGTCTACTGTGTTGTTTTCCTCGACAGTCTTATTTTTAATCATTATACAGGTTGTTAATTGTTGTTTCTTCATTGATTATGTCATAGCATAAGCACTTCCCTCCAACCAAGAGCTTAACTGTGAACCTGGAATGTCAGGCAAGCTTATTTAGCTTTTGAATTTGTGTGCTGTGTTTGGTCTGTCCTTCAGGGTCCTGATGTTGACTGTAGCCATTTTTCATTTAGCCCTTTTATTTGTGATTTGGCAACTAAGAAAGTAGATTTTAAATGGCCTAATAAGGAAAAAAAATATACTTTGCATCTGTACAAATTACAAGTGTAAAATAATTTCAAACTTGAAAAAGAGAAGTAAATTCAGGATGGTCCCAACCATTCCATGAGAAGGCAAAGAGCGTGTTTTAGTTTTGCTTTTTTAAGGAAAAAAAATCTCATTTATAATTATGTTAATCTAAGGAGATTGCACTGATATTCCTTTAGTTATTCATGTCCAAATGCTTTGTAAGGATAATATGACTCACTAAAAGTCTAGCTTTTGTAGAAAAGGAAAATATGAACAACTTACGCACACTAAATATATATAAATATTATATATATATATATATAAAAAATCATAAGTTCATAACACTATTTTTCTTGGCATTACATAGTTATAATGATAACAGTAAGTATGTTCTAGGGTTAATTTTTTTTAGCAGGATAGCATGAAAATTAATTCTGATCATTGTCATTTGCTGAGCCCTGTAGAATTTTATGGCTGCACATTGTGGTATTATGGACACTCATGAGACTCCTGACTGGTTTTATCTTATTAAACAATTTTGAAATCATTAATTTTTAATTGACCTGCTTGTGGTTTTTTATCGTTTTAATTGTGTGTCTGTGTCTAAACATTGGGTGGGGATTTTTAAATTAAAAAGAAAAAAAAAAAAGAAAAAAGAAAGAAAAAGTCCTGTCTAAGCATATATGTTGTAAGGTATTGTTATATGAACATCCAAAGAGATACTAAACTGTGCGGTAATTCATTTTAAAGGATGCTTTCAGCAATTCAGTATCCTAATAAAAGTAATAATAAAAAAAGAATGATATGATGTCTAAGATATGTACAGGTCTTTTCTTGATTGAAAGTTCTAATTAAGTGAATCGAGGAAAATTAACTGAAATTAGCTGTCAGAAAGTCACATTTAAATGAGTGATGATCTGGTGTGGCAGTAAACATTTAAATGATATAAATTGCCATTTAAGTGTATGGTTTAATGTTTGTCATGCATTAATATGACATGAGACTGCAGTGACAATCAAGCAGCTTGCTCTAATTTGAACATATTTAGGGCTTTTGTGTGGAGTGCACCACACAAATTAAGACAATTGCTGGTTTTATGTGTCAATTTAAATCTTGTTTTCAGGCATCGGTTAATGAAACAAACCCATCATTTCTGTGTGCAAATTGCAGAGTGATTTCCCTGGTTTTCAGATTAATTTCAACTTCCTCTGCTCAAAATTAGGAATTTCCTTTGCAAGGAAAATGCCATTCATTTTGTTAGATGAAGAGAATATCAGTTTGTTATGTTGTTTTGTTTGCTAATTCAAATAAGAAGTACTTTGAACCCTCTGTATAAAATAGAAAAAGCAAATCCCACTAGTGATTTAATCTAGATGAATTAACTCTTCAGATACCAATGGTTTTTAGGTTACCTTTTAATATAGTTGTGCCGTATCTAATACCAATATGGAGAGATTCTTTATTTTTTGGATGCTTTTGTCTTTGGGATTGGGTTGTAACTGGATAACATCTTCAGAAAAGCAGCTTAATTGTTCAGCATAGTGCTTCTGTATAGGTTTCTGTATAAGTTTGTATAAGAGATGTATACAAGAAATGCATAGAAGTGATAGCAGTTTGGTAGTCCAACATGTTAAATAATTTGTACCCTAACATCCCTAGTTAGTTCCATTTCCCCAAATTTATCAATCTTCTCTCTGGCTGTCAGAATCAGATAATTGTACTGTTATTATTCACCATGCAGATCACACAGAAAAGCACAATTTCATCTTGAAAGTTCATAAAAACATAGCCAGGCTGTCTACAAAGGCACAAATGCTTTCCACTTACTGCTTTTTTGTCTTATTCTCCCTATTATAGTATTAAAAGCAGGGTTTCCTGGTTAGTGGGAAGTAGGGCATGAGACTCAGGCATCTCTTACAGGGCCCACCTTTTGTTTGGATAGAATGTCTAAAATACTCTTTGCAATTCTGTATTGTTACAGAACAATACTTGTTAAGGTAATTTTATATGCTATTAAAAAAAATGCTTCTGTGATTACCAAATGATGACCATCAGGGAAACTCACGTTTATGTGTTTTGTGTGTGTGTTTTTGTTACAGGCATTAGAAAGTGAGTTTGTTTCCTGCCAGCTCCACCAGTGGATTGATCTGATTTTTGGCTACAAACAACAAGGGCCAGAGGCTGTTAGGTCACTGAATGTATTCTACTATTTGACTTATGAAGGAGCTGTTAATTTAAGTTCAATAACGGATTCCGTATTGAGAGAGGTAAGTTTGTACTTTAAATACAGAAAAGAAAAAAATCTTCATTAAACACTGCAGTGTTGAAAATGCAAAGATTCCACGTTGTTCAAGGCTTCTGGTGAATGTTCCATTTCTTTGCATTCTCTTGTGGTTTGGCTACAGGCCAGTCAAATGCAAGGTGCCTGAACCAGTTGTCACAGCATGCAGAATTACCAGAACAAGCATGCAAGTTGCTCTTAAACTTTGTGCACCTGGATTCAGCCCAGACTGGATACCAGTATAAAAATAAATGTTCGAGGATTGCTTCAGTTGCTGAAATCAGTCATTGTGTTCCCTAATACTGGATCTTAGTGGCAAAAGGCAGTGAGCAACCTTGACTTGGCTGGCACTTCTGGATTTACTTCTGCACTTTTAACAATTCTCTTTAAGCACAGTCTTGTATATGTAGTACACATAAAACACTAGAGTTTTGCAGCTCCCAATATTTTAATTTGGTTTACTATCAAACTAAAATACCTTGTCCTGTATTTTTCATATGCAGAAGTAGATATTTAAACACTGGAAAGATAAGTAGTTTTACTCAGACTCAGCATCATTCAGAAAATCTATTTGCTGAAGTATCTCGTAGGATATTGTGGGCTTAAAGAGTCCTTCCTCCTCCATCTAGACAGCTGTTAAAAAAAGAACAGAGTGGAGTGGGCGATTCAAACAGATTTTTATCGTTTTTGTGTCCTCTGTTCAGACAATACATTGGTATCAATTATAACTGCAAGTATATTAATTATAGAATAAATGTAAGTGCTACTTTGTTATAAAATATTCTCAGTCCCTGAGAACAAAGTAATGTGAATGCTATCAACTATTTTATTTAAATGGGCGATTAGATGTTCAACAGAGAATATATGCATGAACTGAATGAAAACAAGAATGAATCCATTTCTGCTTATAAATATTAGGTTTGAAGTTCACAGTAGAATTCTAGGTTAATCCTACCTGAAGTTTTTGTTTGTTATCTACTGCTTATTTAAAGAAAGTCTGAGAATAAGTGATTACTGTTTTAAATAATACTATTTTCTCTGTACATACTGGCCATCTGACTGTGTGGGGCACCTTGCCTGCCTCTTAGAGAAAGTCATCTCATAGCAACACTGTGGGTTGTAGCTGGTTTGTGTGTGCAGTGAGAAGGTTTGGGGGGTTTGCATGGCATGTGGGGTACACAGGGACTGGCTTAAGTACCAGCACAGTGTCAACATTATGTGGGTTGCCATCAGTCTGCAGACAACGTTTTAGTCTACTTAAAGCTAAAATACTTACCTTGCACATAAATACATTTAATTGAGCTACGAAAGGGGATACTGGGACACTTGTCTTATAAGGAAAAATGTCATCATCTGGGTTTGAAAAAGTTGTTGACCTAGTACTAGAGTAATAGATGTTCACCCTGTCATGTTTTCATTTCACTGATAATGTTTGTCCACTTTTCACTGACAAGGAATTATTCTTACCTTATAAGAGTATTAGACTCTTGACGTACTTGGTTTAAGTGTGAGCTGAAATATAGACTGGGTAATGTACGTAGTTTGTTCTTAATTTTGTTATTAAATGAACCATCATTGAACTATTGCTTCTGGAACCAATAATTGAAGTAACACTAATCAAAATAGCAGTCTATGCACACAATTTTTGTTAAGCTTTTAATTTTTCTAGAACAGTTCTATTATTAGACGAACTGGGATCTATTCTATTTGTGTTGTAGTCTGACAAAAAAGTAACTTGAGACCAGGGAAGTTACAAATCTGTCTGGATGTGTGGGTCATCTCAGAGAGGCATTCACTTTGTTACCAGATATTTTGGATTTGTCATGTTTTTACTGTACTTTACAACAATGTTTCTTTCTTTTGAGTTGTTCTGTGCTGCCTGAGCTGAGTGGCGTATAAAAATGAAAACAGAAGGGGGAATGTTGTTGAGTTCGTAATAATGGAGTAGCTTAGTGGCAGCAGAATTTTGAAACACTACTGATGGTGTCAAAAATACATAGTGATGAATGCAGGCAGCAGAATGAATGATGTCTTATAGCACTTTTGTTCTGAGTTGCTTGAAGATTGGTCCAGTGGAATACTTTTATTTAGCATTTTTGAGCAGGTCATTAAAACAGTTGAAGGATTCCTGTTAGGTATCCCTTGCTATTTACATGTATTTTTTAAGGTGTATTTCTTATTATGTAAGTGTGTATATGCAGTTTGAGATTTGAGTATGATCAGCTCTGATGGGATATTGACAGTGCAGAGATTTAATGGCTATCATCACCAATGGTGACTTATCCTGCTTTTACTTATGGGTAGAGATGAAAGTAATGAAAAATCTGTTTGTGTGTATATCTATGTGCATAATCATTCTATATCTATGTGCTAAATGAATTTATCATGCACCTTTGACAGCATCACCTTCTTCCTGCTTGCTAATCCATCTCCCTGAGGACCCATGCTAACGTTCTGTACTGCCAAGCAGCTTCAATCAGCATTTATTTTTCTCCTTCAGGCAGCTTGCCAGAAAATATTTTGTCTTTTCTCCACCAAGTTCCTGGTTAGAGGCCAAATGAATTTCTGATCTGGGAAATTAGCAGTATTTTTAGGCAGGCACGACACCTCAGATTTAGTACCTGTTTATTAGTCAAGTATTAAACTGGGAAATTTTACTCTGGATTCCTTCATGTCAAAAAGGATGTTTTTAGCTTTTTGCTCTCAATAAGATTCGAGGTTTGGGTCTTTAAATCTCAGGAGTTGTAGCAGAAAATGTATTTTTATTTGCAAACCTAAGCCAAGGAGAAGCCTCTGTATGCTCTGAGGGCTGCAAGTTCTTGAGGCTTTTTGGTATTGTGTGGAAATAATAGCACGTGCTTAAACCATGGCTATTTCCCCACATAGTCAATGCTAAGCCTGGGCCACATCAGTAATGAGAAGGCTATGATGCATGTGTTTCTGAAGTATCTTGCAGATATTTGTATGGATATTGGTGACCTGACTTATCAGAGAGGCCACACACAGAACAATAGTGGAAGGAACTGAGGACTGGAGGAGTGTAGGTTAATGCAGAATTTCCTTAGGTCTCCTAAATGGCTCCAACTGGCACCTTTATTTTTATAGGCAGTCAGGTTATATATATTACAAGAAGGAAGTACTCGTCTAGGAAGGAAAACTACTTGATTAAAACCATATTCCACCTTTCTTTTTTTTTTTTTTTAAAACTGAAAATGTAGAACTTTTACCTCCTCTTATACTTCTGTGAACAATTTTTTCCTGCCATTCTTTCTGCCTATGGGAATAAAGGAAGTAAAGTATTTTGAAAGGATCTGACTGCCATAATAGAAAATCTTAAACTAAAATGCAAACCATGGGACACATGCTACCTTTTGGCAGATAAACCCTGGGGAGTGCAAAGCTTGCATAATTCAAAGGCAAATCTCGGGGGGGAAGGGGGGGGGGGGAGCAGATCAAGAGAGAAGGGTTTGAGTCGCAGCCAGTGGGGGAAGGGAGCTGCAGCCAGGAGAAGCAAGGCAAGAGATTCAGTATCTCTGCTGGCACTACTCATCCCTGCAGAGACCATTCCTTCATCCTCCTCCTTTTCCCTCGAACCATTTTAGTAGCATTGTCATTGACTTTGATCCTTGTTCTTGAATCTTACTGAAGGAGGTTACAGCTGCAGAGGGAAGCTGCTGTTCAGTTGACAAGCAGTAACCATCTTTCCAGTGGAAAATACTGTATTTGCCAGCAGAGGTGTGCTGTATCTCTGCCTTCTGTTGACTTGCTCTTGAGCACCGTATTTTGATCTGTGGAACTCCCAAACGCAAGATGTGCCATGGAAGGGCTCTTTTTTGATGCCTATAGAAGAGGCAAGGAGGAGTCATGTAGCACAGATAAATGTCATCCTGCTGTTCTGGAGAGAATTCACAGCACCTTCTTATCACAAGTTCTGCTCTCTTTTTGCCATAGCTATCCAAGAATGGAGAAGAAAAAAAAAAGCAGAATTACATGTAAGTCATTTGGACAAGCAACTGATTAAGAGCTGAAGCACAATCTGTAGAAAATAGTTTGCATCTTGGACCAATTTGTGGCTATTTCATCAGAGTCTCGATCAGAAGAATAGAAATTTCTCTTGTCTCTGGCTTAGATTCACAAAGGATGTTTGTGAATCTGGGCTGCACTCAGATTCACTGTTACTAATTAGAAGTCCATTTTTCCACTGATACTCCTGTGTAGTTAGTGTAAACACTGGATAAGAGCAAAGAAAAGAGATGAAGTTAATACTGGGAAGACAAAATATTACCTGGAGAATGCATCGTTGGTTTATCCAGGGACCCCTGCACCTCAGGAAGCATTCTGAATTTTCTACCACCCTTATCAAAAAGCACCTAACCATATTTAAAAATAAAAAAATTAAAATAGCATCTGATACGATCTTTGAAGTCAGCAATTACGAAAGACTAATGATTTTTAAATTAGCAATAATAGCTCAAAAAACACAAGTATAAGTCCCATGCAATTAATAACCCCCATCAGGCGATTGCTTTTAGCCTTAAATGGTTCTGTTGTTTTATACTTCTTCCTTTGAAGAGAAGGTGCCTTTTTGTTACACGAAGGTAGTCTGTTTAACATTAGGAAGCACAGCTTTCTCCATTCTCTCGGCACCTTTCTTTCTCTTGATGATATTTTATTTCCATATGAACTGAGGAGTTTCAAAAATTGTGAAGAATCAGCGTGGACACAGCATTCGGTATGTTATTTGAATACACCACTTCTGATTATATACAGAGAGAAAATAATTCTTTTATTTTCAGCTTAGAGGCATATGGGATAAATTATTTTATGGATAATAGCTTTTAAATGTTGCTCAAGATTAATATCTTTGGGTAAGTTTTGTGCATCTTGGACCTATCTCTTATTAGTCTTATTTTATTTTTAAATATTTACAGTTTGAGAGACTTCTGTGCTTTCCAAAAGAAGTTACAAGGATGTTTAGTTTACATG